CAGGGGTATGTACATCTTTACAAATAAGTGTTTTCAATATTTTCAGGTAGCTACCCAGAAGAGGGATTGGTGGGTCATATGGTAGCTCTAGTCTTAGTTTTTATAGGAAATCTCCATACTGTTTTTCATAGTGGCTGCACTCATTTATAGTTCCTACTAGGTGTGTACGAGGGCTCCCTTTTCTCCAAATCCTCTCCAACACTTGTTATTTCTCCTCTTTTTCATAATAGCCAGTCTAACAAATGTGAGGTGATGATATGTCATTGTAGTTTTAATTTTCATTTCCCTTTTGTTTTTGGGGATGTTTTCGATTACTGTTTCAATTTCCTTACTAGTGATCAGTCTATTTAAGTTTTCCACTTCTTCATGATTCAGTCTAGGAAGGTTGTATATTTCTAAGAGTTTGTTCATTTCTTCTAGGTTATAAAATCTGGTAGTGTATAGCCTTTTACAGTATTCTTGTATAATCCTTTGTATTTCTGTGGTGTCCACTGTAACTTCTCTTCTTTCATTTCTGATTTTGTCTTTTTTTCTCTGTGAGTCTAGCCGTGGATGTCAATTTTGTTTATCATTTGAAATAACCAGCTTTTTGTTTCATTAATTTATTCTGTTTTCTTTTTGCCCTCTATTTCACTTATTTTTCACTCTGATTTTTATTATTTCCTCCCTTTTACTGATTTTGGGTTTCAATATGTTTTTCATTTTCCAGTTCTTTAAGTTGTAATGTTAGATTGTTCATTTGGGATTTTTCTTGTTTCTTGAGGTAGGCCTGTAATGCTATAAACTTGCTTCTTAATCCCACTTTTGCTGCCTACCTAAAATTTGGTATGTTGTATTTTCATTTTTATTTGTGTCTATGAATCACTTGATCTCTTCTTTTCTTCTTTGACCCAATAGTTGTTCAGCAGCATGTTTAATCTCCATGAATTTGTTGTTTTCCAGCTTTTTTCTTGAAGTTAATTTCCAATTTCATACTGCTGAAGTCAGAAACTATGCTTGGTATAATTTCAATCTTAAATTTTTGAAACTAGTTTTGTGCCGCAACATATGGTCTATCCTTGAGACTATTTCATGTGCACTTGAGTAGAATGTTAGGTCTGTAATTTTGGGATGGAAAGGTCTATAAATGTCCATTAAGTCTATTTGGGCTAATTTGTCATTTAAGGCTGATATTTTCTTATTGCCTTCTGTCTGGATGATCTATCCATTGCTCAGAGTAGGGTATCCAAGTCCCCTACTATAATTGTATTTTTGTCAGTTTCTCCCTTTTGGTCTGTTAGTAATTGCTTATATATTTTGGTGCTCTCAGGTTGGGTGCACGTATATTGATAAGCATTATGTCTTCTTGATGAATTGTCTCCTTTATCCACTGTTGATTCCCTCTAATGTATTCTTTATTTCTGACTGTTTCTTTTTATGTTTTCTGTCTTCATTTTTATGTTTCCTATCTCTTTGTTGAAGTTCTCCCTGAGATCACTGAGCATCTTTATAACAAGTGTTTTGAACTCTGCATCTGGTAGATTGCTTATCTACATTTCATTTAGTTCTTTTTCTGGAGCTTTTTTCTGTTATTTCATTTGGGACATGTTTCTCTCCCCTCCCCCATTTTGGCTGCTTCTCTGTTTTTGTTTCTGTGTATTAGGTAGAGCTGCTATCTATGTTTCCCAGTCTTAGTAGAGTGGTCTTATGTAGCAGGTATCCTTTGGGGCCCAGTGGCACAGTCTCCCTGGTCACCTGAGCCTGGTGCCCCAGATGTTTCCCTTATATGGGTTGTGTGTGCCCTCCTGTTGTAGTTGAGCCTTGGCTACTCTTTGCACATCAATGGGAGGAATTGATCCTCAGGTTGATTGGTTGTGAGGACTGGTAGTAACTGCAGTGGAGGAGCTGTTGTGCATGAGCTGACCCTATGGAGCAGGATCTGCTTTAGTAGGGTTCTGGTGCCTGCCCAGCCTGCCCTTTAGGTGTGTTGTTTGTGGAGGTGGTTGGTTGGTGCTGGCCACTGGGTTTGTTGGTTCTGAGACCTCTTGGGAGGGGTTCTGGTGAAGGCCAAGCTCAGCTGCTGCCTGTGTCCTGCCCAGGCCACTTGCTAGGAGCTACAAAGTGATCTGCAGATGGTTGCACCAATGTTGGGCCTGGAGGTGCCTGGGAGAGGCTAAGTTGCATACTGAGGCCGGCTGCTGCTAGTGCCAGGCTTTGGCTCAGCCTCAACATTTTAAAAACGTGATATCATCAGAGGTGATGAAATGACATCAAAAGAAGAGGGTCTCAAGTTAGCCCCCTGGTCTAGAAAAAACGTGATTCTCACACTTTAATGTGCATCCAAATCACCTGGGGATCTTATTTAAATATGATTCTGATTCAGTAGGTCTGAGGTGAAGCCTGAGATCCTACATTTCTAACAAGCTCCCAGATAATGTCGATGCATCTAGTCCAGGGGACCACACTTTGAGTAGAAACAGTCTGCAAGACTAAAAGTTAATAACATCTCTTAAAATGAGCCCAAGGTAGCTTCTTTTAGAGTTTCAAGCATGGTCAGTGATAGCTTCCCTAAATACAATTTGGTCAGAAGGAAGTTGCACATGATAATCATACCTAAAGCATTTTACCCCTTAGTGCATTGTGCTCAGGGTTTCCAAACGAGAATTCTCTACTGGCTTCCATACCTGTGTAGAAAATCAATCACAGGACACTCCTACATAAATGATTGATAGATTCCCTCAAAAAACCTATCTCAAGCAGAATTCATTACCTTTCCTCGTTCCCAAACCCACTCCTGGGCTTCCTCTCTCAGTGAATGGTAGCCTCATGTACTCAGCTGCCCGAGTAAAAAATCTGGGCATTATTCTCCCTCTTTCCTCAGGCACAAAGTCCTGTCAAGTCTTTCTTTAAGTAGTTCTTAAATCAGCTTTTCTCCATCTGCATTTCTACTGCCCTAGTTCATGGCATATACATCTCTTGCTTCGGGTACCACTGATCTCTTAACTGGTCTTCCTTCTCTGTCATCTACACTGCTGCCAGCATGATGACTTCCTTATCTTTACCCCCCTGTTTGGAATACTTCAATGGCTCCCTTCTTCCCTAGGGATAAAAATAAAGTCCAAATTCATTAGCATGCTTTACAGGGCTCTTTAACCTATAGCTCAAGCTTACCTCTTTAGCCCTATTGGTTCCTAAATCCCCTTGAACTTTGTACTTGAGTTAGACTTATGTGTCATGACATCATCTTCTTCCTGTTGACTGTAGAAACTGAAAGTTTCTCTTGGAACCTCTCACCTAGCCTCTCTACACATCCTTCACTTTCTCTGGAGGCTTTCCCTACTCTCCCCAGGTTACATTTGATGCCCTTCCCAAGTACTCTCATAGAACACCCTTACCTCCATTATCAATGAATCACTGGTTTGTAGTTTTGTTCCTTGTTGACATTATGTTTAGCACTTAGTCAGTGCCCAACAAATATTTGTTAAATAGATGCATGGTTTATAAACCAACAATGCCTAGGAAAATGTTTCTCAGGATATTAACTCTAATGGCTGTCTCTGTTGAATGCCAGCCTCAGTACTTGGAGGCAGGGAGCAGGGTAACAGACCACAGGTTTCACTACCTCTCATCTCTAAGCATCTTTGGAGACATTTCTCCAAGAGGACATACAGGTGGCCAATAGGCATATGAAAAGATGCTCAATGTCACTAACTGTTAGAGAAATGCAAATAAAAAACACAATGAACACCTCATTCCTGCCAGAATGGCTGTCATGAATAAATCAACAAACAACAAGTATTGGCAAGGGAACCCTGGAGCACTGTTGATGAGATTGCAAATTGATGCAGCCACTATGGAAAACAGTATGGAGGTTCCTCAAAAAATTAAAAATAGAACTACCTTATGACCCAGGAATTCCACTCCTGGGTATTTATCCAAAGAAACCCAAAATACTAATTTGAAAGAATATATGCACCCCTATGTTTACTGTAGCACTATTCACAGTAGCCAAGATATGGAAACAACTGAAATACACATCAACAGACAATGGGATAAAGAAACTGTGCTACATTTATACAATAGAATGTTACTCTACCATAAAAAAGAATGAACTCTTACCATTTGTAATAACATGGATGGACCTAGAGAATATTACGCTAAGTGAAATAAGTCAGACAGAGAAAGACAAGACCATATGATCTCACTTATATGTAGAATCTAAAGAACAGCATAAATGAGCAAACAAAATACATATTCATAGACACAGAGAAAAAACACCAGCCCTTGCAGCTGCTCCTCCTTAGGTCACAGATATTATAAACAAAGGTGGGCACAAAAGGACGAGCTCAGCAGGATAGTGGACTCACAAATGTCCCTAAAGCAAGAAGGAAAAATGTCGGAGAGGGATGGCAAAAGCACCCCGTTTATCATAATGTACAGCCTGCTTCTCAGGGCCACTGAATGAGCTCACACAACCTCAGGAGCAAGAAGGGAGTACAAGGCACACCAGCTGGAAGGATGAGCGATATTGGAGAGGGAGGTGGGGGAGACAATTCATAGAAATAAAAACTCCCATACAATGTAAGGACAGGCTGCTTTTCCCTCTGTTGGGACAGCCCACTCCGTTATCTCTGGAGTACATGCACTTTGCTAATCAGCTTCTTACTATTCTGTGCTTGCACAATTCTGTCTCTTGATTGACTTGTTTCCCTCAAGAAGACAAGAACTGAGTTACAGTCATCACACTCAGAACTCTCTGAAAAACCAGAAGTGATTTTCATCAGTTAGGGGTGATGTCAATGTGAACATGCTTTCAGACAGGAAAATGGATAAGATAATCCTTCGAGGAATCAAAAGTCAAAACTCACCAAATCCAACAGCTTGCTCCCAGGCGAGCTGGCAGGCCTCTTCCGCATTAAGATTCCTGGCTCAGTAAAGGGGTCTAAAACTACCCACAATTGAAGTCATACAGGGTAACTTATTAATGAAAAGCTCCCAATGGAGCCAAGCCATTTACTCACCAGCACTCTTCTTGCAGGCCTGCTGGTTGCATTTTTGGAATTCCAGAGGTTTGGGTTCATGATCACATAGGCATAGTTCTTGGTCTTCGGTTTTATTGTCCTCTGAGGAGACACAGTGGACAGCCCTCTTCTGAAAGCCACCTCCACAGGAAGCAGTGCACTGAAAAGGGGGGGGGCACAGGAAAAGAGTCAGAATTCTTCCCCAGGGTCACCAGGGGGGACTCCAATAGAACACCTCTAACCCCCTGTCGTCAAGTAGGGCAAGTCTCAATTATCAGAAGACTTTTTGAAGGAGTCATAGAATAAAGGCACCAGTAATTTGGAGATGTGAATTTAGGAAGAGTCTGTATTATAGATTGTGTGGATTGAATTTCACTTAATTTATTATTGGGTTCTCTGAAGAATGTGGACAGAGGTTGAACTACAAGCAAAATAGGAAAAAAAATCATATCTGGGTCCCGTAGGCTGCCTAAGTCAACCAGTTTCTCTCAACTAGTATCACTGGGCCTGGGACTCAGATGTGAGGAAAGGGGATACAGCTACAAGGGAAGCAGAGAGTATGTTAAAGGGGAAAGTGGGAGAGGAAATCCATGGTGTGGGATGCAGGGAGGGTTTAGAATGGACCTAGCGAGACCACGTGTGTTCTCAAGCCATTCTAACAGACCAGATGCAAGCAGAGGGGAGGTTCTCTAGCCTGTGAGAGTAGCTTATGTAAGATGATTCCTGAGGATGTAAGAAAATGTGTCTGAGTTTACTCTTTTAAAACTTCTTTTTATTCTGGTAAAATATATAAAACAAAGTTTACTATTTTAACCATTTTTTAAGTACACAGGTTAGTGCCTTAAGCACATTCACATTGTTGTGCAATCATTACCACTATCCATCTCTAGAAGTTTTTAGTTTTCCCAAACTGAAACTCGGTACCTATTAAATAAGGTACTGAGTTTCATTTCACCTTCCACCCCCACCCCCCAGGCCTGGGCAAGCACCATTCTATTTTTTTGACTCTGAATTTGACTATAGTAGGTACCTCATATACGAGTAGGTAAATTCATACAGTATTTGTCCTTTTGTGACTTGCTTACTTCAACTAGCATAATGTCTTCAAGTTTCCTTCATGTTATAATACATGCCAGAGTTTCTTTTTTAAGGTAAAATATATTCCATTGTATGTATATAACACATTTTGTTTATCCATTCATCCACTGATGGACACGGGTTGCTTCCACCTTTTGGCTACTGCAAACCACTTGTACTCTTGTGATTTATCTTCTAGCTCACGTTTTATTACATTTAGCCTCCTCTTTATTATGTAATCAAAATCTCCCAGAGGATAGAAACCAGTCTCTCTTTCCTGCCTGACAATTAGATGAGTGCTAACTAAACACAGCCTGACATTCAATAAATAGCCATTGATTTATTGGCTGAAAAAGTCTCTTGCATGGCAAATTCTGGATAAGTCACTAGGCCCCAAAGATTCCATTTGTCATTTGAAATATCAGTGGTCACCCAGCTCACTAGATAAAAAAAATTCCACATTGGGACACCACTGATAAACTCAGAATACTGCTACGAAACCCTGTTTCCCACAAGACTCCCATATGGGATAGGAGGAGAAACATCAAATCTTGCTTAACATCCACTTCTATAATTCTACTCTTTATAAAGTCTGGAGCATGGTAGTCAACATGGAACATGCAAAGCAAAATGTTTGCTTTACTAAGTCAGAAATTTCTATGAAATCTGAACGTAATTTTACTCAGTGAATTCACGTAAAATTCTTCATGAATATGGACTTTGATCCGTTGGTAGCTCAGTGGCATATAGTTTTGTCTCCATGTATTTATGGTTTTTTTTCAGTTTTCTTCCTGTATTTGACTTCTAGTTTCAGTCCATTGTGGTTGGAAAAGATGTTTGATACAATTTCAATCTTGAATTTATTGAAGCTTGTTTTGTGGCCTAATATGTGATCTATCTGGGAAAATGTTCCATGTACACTTGAAAAACATGTGTATTCTGAAGTTTTTGGATGAAATGTTCTATAAATGTCTATTAAGTCAATCTGCTCTAAAGTGATAGTTAAGGCTATTATTTCCTTATTAATTTTCTGTCTAAATGATCTATCCATTGATGTGAGTTGGTATTAAAATCCCCTACTGTTACTGTATTACTGTGTATTTCTTCTTTAAAAAAAAAAATTTTATTGGGGAATTGGGGGAGGGGAACCGCACTGGAGAATTGGGGAAGGGGAACAGACAAATTGCTGTCCTTTTGTTCTTCAGTCTAATTGTGGATGATGTTGCTTCACTGGCCCATGTTGGTGTTATCATTGCTCTCTTCCTGGGTGAGGCAGATAGGTTGCTGGCCTCTGGACGGCCACTCACAGCAGCTCTTGGCAGCTCACACCAGCTGCTGGCCACGCACGCTGGCTGCCGCCACACACAGTAGCTTATGGCAGCCCACAGGGGCCGCAGCCTACGCTGTCACCGGCGACTCACGGCAGCCCAGCTCCAGGTCAAGCTGTTGTTCACCATCTTAGCTGTAGAGGGCAGTGTCACTGGTCCTCATGTGGGATCCGAACCGGGGCTCTGCTGCTCAGAGCTGGCGTCCCAATCCAGCTCTTAACCAATGCGCCACTTAGCTGGCCCTGTATTTTTTCCTTGATGTCCATTAATAATTGCTTATATATTTAGGTGCTCTTATGTTGGCTGAGTAGATATTTACAACTGTATATCCTCTTCTTGGATTGAGCCCTTTATAATTATGTAATGTCTTTTTACATTATGTGTTTTAAAGTCTGTTTTGTCTGATATGAGTATTGCTTGCTACCCCAGCTCTATTTTCATTTCTATTTGCATGGAATAGGCTTTTTCCATTCTTTCACTTTCAGTCTGTCTGTGTCCTTCAATTTGAAGTGAGTCTCTTGTAAGCATCATATGGATGGATCATGTTTTTAACCCATTCAGACATCCTATGTCTTTTTATTGGAGCAGGTAATCTATTTACATTTAAAGTAATTATTAATAAGTATGTACTTATTGACATTTTGTTATTTTTTAGTTGTTTTTATAGTTCTCCTTTGTTCCTTTCTTCTTTTCTTGATCTCTTCCCTGTGGTTTGCTGGTTCTCTTTAGTGTTTTGTTTGGGTTCCTTTCTCTTTATTCTCTGCATCTTTTGTAGGATTTTGGTTTTTGGTTACCGTGAGGTTGATGTACGTCATTCTATATCTATGGCAGTCTATTTTAAGCTGTTAGGCATTCAAATTCAAATATATTCTCCAAAGACTTCATTTTTACTGCCCCCTCCACACTTTGTAATTGATGTCACATTTTAGATCTTTTTGTGTTGTGCATCTCCTAACTATTTATTGTAATTTTAGCTGAGTTTGATACCTTTTTCCTTAGTCTTTTGTAAAAGCTTTTAAAATGTCTGATACACTGTATTTATTAAATAGTTGGCTTTATCTGTAAGATTTTTTTTCCTTTCTCATATTTTCTTATTTCTAGTTATGGCCTTTCCTTCTCTGCTTAAAGAAGACCTTTTAACATTTCTTGTAAAACTGGTTTAATGGTGATGAACTGCTTTAGTTTTTGCTTGTCTGGGAAAATCTTTTTCTCTCCTTCAATTCTTTTTTTTTTTTTTTAAGCTGAGCCATCCTGCCACCTGTTTGCTGCTCAGCTCGGGCTGGGCATCAAACCGCTGTTGCTCAGAGCTCAAACTCTTGAGCGAGCTCTTAACCAACTGAGCCACTCAGCCAGCCCTTCTCCTTCAATTTTGAATTACAACCTTGCTGGGTAAGTTATTCTAAGTTGTAGGTTCCTTTCTTTTAGTACTTTAAAGATGTCCTGCAACTCACCTCAGGCCTGTAAAGTTGCTGCTGAGAAACCAGCTGGTAGCCTATGGGGTTCTCATTGTATGTATTTGTTTTCCTCTTGCTTCCTTCAAGATTGTCTATTTAACTTTTGCCATTTTAATTACAATATGTCTTGGTGTGAGTCTCTTTGGGTTTATCTTGTTTGGAACTATCTGCTTCCCAGGTTAGGAAAGTTTTCAGCCATATTTCTTTAAAATAAAGTTTCTGTTTCTTTCTGTCTTTCTCCCCTTTCTGGGATCCCTATAGTGCAAATGTTTAAGCACTTGACATTATCCTCGAGATCCCTTAAAATTATCCTCACTTTCTAAAATTCTTTTTTTTTAATTATTTTTATTGTGAAATACACATTTTTTAGAATTAGTTTCAGCTGTACAACACAGTACAATAGTTATGCTTTTTACCCCTTGAAGTGAGAAACCCCTCCCCCAATCCGCTGCCCCACTGCCCCCCCCAATATCATACATATCTATTACAAATCCCTTGACTCCACTCTCACACTATACTCCACGTCCCATGACTATATATAAATATATTCACTTATAGTTGACATATAATATTATACAACATCAGCTTCAGGTGTACAGTGCAGTGATCAAGCCTCTACCCCATCCATGATGCGGTCTCCCTAGCAAGACATGTGACCATCTAAAACCCTACAAAATATTTACAACATTATTAATTATATTCCTCAAATTGTCTTTCATGTCCCTGTGGCAATATTGTAGTTACTATTTATGCTGTCTAATCCCTTCCCCTTCTCCCTCA